TTTTTTTTTTTTTTTTTTTTCACGTCTCGATTTTGGTGGAGGAACTTGATATTTCGGGTTGCGTAAGGGATTACAAGTCCCGGCAACCAGATTTTAGATTGCCACTCTATGTAACAGTGATCGCCTTCTCCAGATCTTTGAAAAATTATTCAATCAATGTGGTTATTTGTAATTGAAAAGATTTATTGTAATGAGGCTGCAATTTTGATTTTTCTTGAGAGGCTTACTCGTTTGATATTCAGGAAACTTTATTTATTGTTGTATTCCTAGGCTGCTAGCAACTTGCGTGCAGCCTAGAGGGGCTCGCGTGTCTACTATTTTTGTAACTTTTCAAATATAAGCAAAAAGTTTGTTTAAAAAAAGGCAATGCCTTATGTTCTATGTGGAAGCGTGATGCAGTTTTCAATAGTCATGAACTTCAGTGTCACAGCGTAAAAGATAACTTCTAATTTTGATCTCTCTGGACAGATACGGTGCTTCGAAAGGTGGTCATGATAGTAACTATGCTTCCGCGCCTGATGGATGTGTTCCTATTCATTTAAATCTTGTGGTAAGCTACATTTCAAAATTGTTGGTTTCCAAGAACCATTTGGTCAATTATCTTTCATGCTTTTTCTTAATAGGGAATTATTCCTTCAATGAGCATAAAAACATTAGGTTAAAGTAAAAGATCTATATTTCAGAATTTTATTGAGAGGCTTGAATGATTAGGGTGTATGCCCATCTTTGCGCCATACCACTAGATTCAACGGTCAACAGTTTGTTATTTGTTAAATGTGTATTAAGTTGCTTGCAAATGATACCATAATAGTAGTTAATTGTAGGGGAGGTATGCATGCAAGATTCAATTCCTGCCGTGGTTTGTTTCAGAAAGTATGTTTGTTTGGTGCGTAACTGAATCTACTAATACTTTATAGCATAACTTGGGATTCTATTACAGAGTTTTTTTGTATGATTAACTTGCAATTTGTGTTCTTGCTTTCTAATAACAAGACTTTATTAGACTTAATTTCTTTGAAAGTTAAATATTCCAAAGAAATTTATAGATTTAATGGTTTTCTTTCTCAGGCCAGGCATGGAACTCGTGCTCCAACCAAAAAACGTATTCGAGAGTTGAACAGCTTGGAAAGTCAATTGGAGATGCTTATAAGAGAGGCAGTAGAAAATGGGTTGTCTCTGCATAAACTTCCTTCCTGGTTGAAGTTATGGAAATCTCCTTGGAGAGGAAAAGTGAAAGGTGGAGAATTAATTCCTAAAGGAGAGGAAGAATTGTATGATCTTGGAATCCGAACAAGAAAAATGTTCCCTGACTTGTTTAGCGATGATTATCACCCGGAAGTTTATACCATTAAAGCAACTCAGGTTATTTCCTGTTTTGGCACTGTTTTTGTTGTGTACCTCCAATTTTAATTGTTACACATTAATTATTGTTGGACTGGGAAATTGTAGACTTGGAGTTCCATTTATTGTTTGAACTAGAATCAGTATGCTTAATTCTCTTTCCTCCATAAATAATTAGGTTCCTCGAGCGTCAGCTAGTGCTGTGGCATATGGTATGGGGCTATTTAGTGGACGAGGAAGCCTTGGATCAGATCATCATCGAGCCTTTTCTGTCATCAGCGAGAGCCGTGCCAGTGATACCATGCTTAGGTTTTTTGATTGTTGTCAAAGATACGAGGTAATTGTGAATTCTTGATTGTCTTCTGATTGATATGGTCTAAATTGGCCAAAATTTGATTGCGTATTATTATCATCATTAAAATCATGTTCTTGTTTACGGTTTTGAACTTCTGCTGTTGTTATGTGTCAGTTTGTGCGTGATATTCAAGCACTTATACCCTCCTGAACACGTATTAAAATGTCTATTTTTCAGCTGTTTTTCTTCATGCTGTCTATTTCTTCAAGGTCTTTAAAATTGTGATTTTGTGGTGATGAATTAAAAAAAAAAAAAAAAAAAACCAGGTTGTTGCCTGTATATATAATAGCCATTGATCTCTCACCCAAGTGATGCTATATTTGCTAGCAAAACTCAGAATCAAAAGGCCACCTTTTTGTCCACTGTTCCTTTCCCATGTTTTTTTCTGGGAGTTCTCTTCTTGGCAATTTTGGATGGGTTATGCCCCTCCATTGAAAAATTTTGGCCGACCTTCATATCCTTCTACTGGCACAACCCTCCAAGGAGGGCAGTCTCTTTTGGCTAGATTTGCTAAGAGAAATACATGGCTTTAGAGAAAACACAGACCTTTTGGTTGAACGGGGAGAAGTTTTACTCATCCCTGTTTTCTGCTGGCTTTTGATGCAAACTTCAAAATGTTTTTGTTTTTTTAGACTATCCATTACTGATATTTGAGGGGATTTCTGAACCCTCATTTTCCTTGGAGGCTTCCCTTCCGTTTAGCTCTTTCATTACTTTGATGAAAAATTGTTTTTTTTTTTAATCTGAAGTTGTAAATGGGGAATCAATTTTCACTCGTGCCAACTATATTTAAATCATCCAAGTATTAAAATAGATTTTTAATTGTTGACTGGTCGATGTCACTGATCACTATCAATTTTCTGTGCAGGATTATAGGAAGTATCAGGAACCTGCTGTTGACAAGCTCAAAGAACCTGTACTTGATGATATAACTAAGTTACTCAGTGAACGATATAGTCTGAATTTTACACGGCAGCACATTTCATCTCTTTGGTTTCTCTGTAAGCAGGTGATTCTTCACAAATGCACTTAAACACATGAAGTTAAAGTCCACTCGTAAAATATTCAGGTTTGATTTGAATTACTTTGTTGATCGAATATCTCAATGCAAGAACTTGTTTGAGATTCGAATCACTCCACAAGCAAGACTCTTGAATTCTAAACATGCAATCTAAACTATTAAAAATGTATTTTGAAATTTATGGCCATTTTTTTAATTCTTGGTTTATGTATTTGGAAAGTAACAAGAAAATCTTTAATTTACGTTAATATTGAAAATGGGTTAAATTTTCACTTATTGTTGGTGAAGAAATGTTAGGTCTCAGTTATTCTCCCCTCATCCCTCTGTCTTCTCTTTGTTTCTAGATGGACACTTTTTAAAAAAGAAGTTTATGACTCTAAGAGAACCCCTTGTCCTTTTGTAGCTCAATTATTTTAATGTAATACATTTTTGTTTTTACTCTAATGTTAATTTTTTACTCTCTTCTATCATCTGCAGGAGGCATCCTTATTGGACATAACGGATCAAGCTTGTGGACTGTTCAGCCCTTCCGAGGTATTTGAATTATTATCTCAATGGGATTTATCTACTGTCATACCAATAGTAGGATTGGTTTCAAATGTATTTTAAAGACTCATACCTGACGAGGAGGCTTAGCTTATTACTTCGCATTTCCTTTTATGTATTCTAGTTTCCTTCATACAAATCTGAAAGGCTTGCAGTTGGCTCAAACTTATATGGAAAAAGGAAAAGATGGGAAATCAAGCTACAATTAATTGGAGAGAAATACAGCTTCTTATAAGAACTAAGGGTTGAGAGAAAAGAAATGGCCGATGATATGTTTTAACGTGGCTCTATTTCTGTGAAGCTACATCCATGGGTCACGTTTAGAAATTAAAATTCACAACACAATCAAATGTTGGTTTAGGCTAAAAAATAAGAAGTCGTCTCCTATTTCTTAGCCGTAAATTCTCATTGCCACCCTTCCTTTTGGATGAGCTCCTTGTGTGTCGACTGTCTACTGACTTCTTTGGAGTGTTTAGTCTTCTTCCAAGACTAAATTTAAAAACATCCCAATAGCACTCGTAGAGTGATGCTAAAAGAAAGTCTATGTAGCTTGAAAGTTTCACCGTCAAAGTGCTAGGTTATGGGGTTATTTCAAGGAGAATAAGACTTGCATAAGATCTCATACGAATGTCCAAATTACTTGATGAGTTCAATTTGGCATCCAGGAAAACGATCATGGTTGTAATAACATAAGGAAAACGATCATGGTTGTAATAACATACTATGACAGTTATTATCACAAGATTTATGCTCCAATTAAGTTGGAAGTTAAGAACACTATGAATGTTATGAGCGTTGTAGGAGTGATTTTATGAGATTTTCAGGATAGAAGTCCAAACAAAGTGTCAAATTGATCAAATTAGGAATTATACACAATTGAAAAGGTAAAAACTGTGCAATTCAGAAAACATGTGAAAGACTGAGATCAAAATCTTTCATAAACAAAATTGTTTTAAAAAATTATTCTGACCTCATATGCATTTGAAGTAACCTACGTTTCAAAGAACTACAAGAAATATTTAAGCATTGATATCAAATTCAAATTAAACCATTAAAACAAAGAGAATTTAAATATTCATCTAAAGACAGTATAACAAATTAACTTCATTGAAATTGATCAATCTATAAAGCTTTTAAATGTTATTGCCAACAAAACCAGCATACTGCTTTTCTAACAACTAGGAAGGCAGTACACCAGGAGTGTGGTGTCCTTCTTCAATAGTCAGTGAGCTCATATGTGAGGTTAGCTTGCACCAGGGAATGTTTTTCTATTAATCCAACCAGATTTTCCAGTTCTTTCTAATCTACTCATAAAAGAATCTTTTGTTGAATGATTTTGGGTTTAGCTTAGCATGCCGCAGTTATAATGTTTGGTGGTTCTGCATTTCATGATTCTCAGCTTGCAATCTTTGTCTACGTGCTCAGGTTGCTTTGTTGGAGTGGACGGATGATGTGGAGGTGTTTATATTGAAGGGTTATGGTAATTCATTAAACTATAAAATGGGAGTTCCTTTGTTGGCAGATATTGTTCAATCCATGGAGCAAGCTATCAAGGCCAAAGAAGGTATATTTATACATCTGCTACTTTATTTTCTTGTTCACACTCCCCATACCTTTGTACATTTGCTTTTAGCTATAAATTTTCGTGTCAGATCACTGAGTTCTATTCTGACATTTTGGGAGGAGGTATGGTCCGAGTGTTAGGCTTAATGGCTTAGTTTCTGCGGCAATTTCAAAAGACTTTTGTAATTGTCTGCTAGATTTCTTCTTCTGTATAGTTGGTGTCGTCCTTTTCTGGTGGGTTTTTTTGTATGGCCTTTTTTCTTTCATTTATCTCAATGAAAGTTCAGTTTTTCTTCCCAAACAAAATACCATACAATTTCTTTTTAATAATCAAGTTCCCATTTATTTTTCCAATGGAAATTCTGAAGGGCCAATGTTGGAAGTTATTAAGTAATGTTTCTTATCTATCTTACCATTTCTAAGTTTTTCATGTTCTGTACTGGTAGAAAAGCAAATTCCTGGCAGCTACGAGAAGGCAAGACTTCGTTTTGCTCATGCCGAAACTGTGCTTCCATTCACATGTTTGCTCGGGCTCTTCCTTGAAGGACCTGGTAAGTGCTTTTAATAACTTATAAATTATGCATGTCTGTGGCAGTCCCCTTTCTAAGTTTTGAAATTTTGTTACCTGAATATAACAGATTTTAGAAAAATACAAACGGAGCAGCCTTTGGAACTTCCTCCACGGCCTCCAGCTACTAGAATATGGAAGGGGAGCGCTGTTGCACCTTTTGCTGGGAATAACATGCTTGTTCTCTATAACTGCCCCGCTAACTCGTCGGATCAGTACTTCGTGAGAGTTTTGCATAATGAAGAACCCATAGCAATGCCGGTAAGCATCCTCTCCATTCCTAGGGCAACCCATTTCTTATTTTTAGTTCATGTTTGGACTTCCATAAAATTTCCATTCTTTTGTCACCAATGCATAAAATGTCTAAAATTAAATGTTACTACTGCTAGTTTCACAAGATCTACATTCATTGATCGTTCAATTCGCAATGGCGAATTGTGGATTTTCATCTCGAAGTTTCCTTTAGTTTACTTCTCGAGCTGACCTGTTACCTTGTTCATATTACAATTCTTACTAATCTTTTGTATTTTCTTGAATAGGGTTGTGATGGTTCGGATTTTTGCTCCTTCAAAGACTTCAAGGTAAATTACCACATCCACACGCACACACACACACCATATATACTAAGAAACCGAGATTTTAGATGAAATAATGTACAGGGCACACATAATTGCAAGAATAGATCCTAATCTATTAATCGAGCCTTTTGTAATTATTTACATCCATATTGAGTTTACGGTCACCACTTGTTTAGTGATGATCTTAAAACTTTTCCTCTCTTTCCAGGAGAAAATTGTAGCACCTCATCTCAAGCATGATTTCAACACATTGTGCACTGCAAATCTTGAAGAACCTGTGTCGGAGCCTGAAACGAGTAAGTTCTCACTGTTCCGTTGGCTCTTCGGGCCACGCAATGACGATAAACAACCCCGAAAAGTTGAATTGTAATAGATGGTGCTTACTAATTATACATCTTTGTCCTTGACATTGTTTTCTTAATGTGCATATAATCAACAGGCACCAAACCCAGGTTTTACTAGTAGGCAGGAGTTTACTCGTTTTCCGTGCTAATTTCCAGTTTCATTTTATCTGGATCTTGAGATTGCATCTGTTTCACACGTCTTTGATTCAAAGATTAGACTCAACATTGAGCGTTTGGCATTTGCTTGGATGTTTTGTTTTACCACACAAGGCACGTGCTTCACCTTCTGTACTCCTAAATTATACAAGATTAGGTTACTCTTTACAATACGTAATCTGTATGTATATACTAGAAAAGAACTGAGCTTGTTCATTCTTTTACCATAATTGTCCAAACTCTTTCTAAAATATCTGTCATTAAAATAACTATGGTGTGGTAATGAAATGAGACTTTGTCAATTTTTGCATATCTAGTTAATTCAATTACATCAAAAGTTGGAGGTTCGATTTCATACTCATGATGCAATTATTAAGCTAACGAAATAAAGAAAGCACTTGAAATCATTTAAATCAAATAAAAAATATTGACTAGTTGCATAAACTTAATTTCTAACTTTTTTAGTCAGACCATCTAAGTCTGCACTTCTAACTTTCTTAATCGTACCATCTAAGTCTGCACTTCTAACTTTCTTAGTCGTATCATTTAAGTCTGCACCAATATTTAGAGTAAACTAATTGACAACTAATAATTTTTCTAATTAATAAAAATAATATAATTCAATTAATTAAAATTAAAATTAAAAATTTTTGGTTGTAAATGATAAGTGTAAAACTATTTATTTATTACATTATTAAGTTTAATAGAATTGAAACAAAAGCCAGTAAATTGAGATCAAAATGTTTCCAAGCAAACCCAAGGTAGAGTTCCGCTTGTTTTTCAATTTAGTTAATTATATAATAATAATCTAGTCGAATGTTTCACAATTCCGTCGATATGTCCGAGTGGTTAAGGAGACAGACTCGAAATCTGTTGGGCTTTGCCTGCGCAGGTTCGAATCCTGCTGTCGACGCTTTTATTTATTGTTTTTTTTAATCTTTCTTCATTTGTTTCTTGCGTCAGATCCACGCTTTCTTTCACCCCCCCCATCCCCTCTTTCTTTCATTATTTGCATTTAAACCCCTCAATTTCTCATTTTTCCCCTAATCTCCCCTCCGATAAAAAAGAAGCCTCAATTCGATTGTCTGAAGTTCTCCATCTTCTCCATCAAAACTCCCTCTCTCTCTCTCTCTCTAACAATTAGCCCTAAATTCCCCCAAAACAAAACCCCATTTCTTCTCTTAAACCCTTCTTCACAGAATCCTTCAATTCTCTGAAATACTCTCTACTATGGCTTCCCATTCCCCTAATCTCGAGTGTCGGATGTACGAAGCCAAGTACCCCGAGGTCGACATGGCCGTCATGATCCAGGTCAAGAACATTGCTGACATGGGCGCTTACGTCTCTCTTCTCGAGTACAACAACATAGAGGGTATGATTCTCTTCTCCGAGCTCTCTCGCCGTCGTATTCGTAGTGTCAGCAGCTTAATTAGGGTCGGTCGAATCGAGCCCGTCATGGTCCTCAGGGTCGATAAGGAGAAGGGGTATATTGATTTGAGTAAGAGGAGGGTTTCTGAGGAGGATATTCAGGCATGTGAGGAGAGGTATAACAAGAGCAAGCTTGTTCACTCTATAATGCGCCATGTTGCTGAGACTGAAAATATTGATTTGGAGGTAGTTTCTCGTTTTCTGGCTCTTTTTCTCATTATTGGCTGTATTGCTTTGATGGGTGTTTTAGGAGTTTGTTGAAGTTTTAGTTTCTTGGGTGATGTTTGAATTTGTTTTCGTGTATTCTTTTTGTTTGAGTTTGGAAAGGGAAGGTGAAGTTCTCCTAGGCTGTTGTTCAAATCTATGGTGGTCAGTGGTCGCCTTTGACTTTAAAAATTCTGTGTGTTTCTTGACAACGACCAAATATAATAGGTTCTTGTGGTTAATTAGTGGGGCGTGGCTAAGTTGACTACTCTATACATTGATATGTAGAAAAAAGTTCCTTAGTTTACAAAGTAGAGTTGGATTTGCCTCCTTTGGATTAACAACATTGGATCAAAGGGGCAGGTATTTAACGATTGGTGAAGGGCTTAAAACTGGCCAAGATTGTGTTACTCAATGTTTCTGCGGTGAATTCAAGCACACGGTTATGAGTGAGGGGTGGGCAAATGCATATTCCTTGTGCAATGGGGCACACCTTGATCACCAAGTTCATGGCAAATGGAAATCACCATTTTCTTGGGCTTAAATTCAGGACACTCATCACTAGTTTCCTAAGGTGGCTTCGAGGCTTTGTTTTAGAAGGGGAGGCATAAGACTTGAAGCTCTATGTGGTGTATGCATTGATGTAAATACAAATAATAATAATAATAATGATAAAAATTGTAAAAATTGTAAAAATGTAAGCCATGCACTAGTAAGCACATCCATCATTAAATACTTTTGTTGTAAAGGTCATTCTCATCATCATTATTATCATTGATAGGATTAACCTTTTCTTTAATTTTTATTTTTTGGACTTTATTAAGTATTAGTTGTAAAGTTAGTAAAAGGCCAAATAACCACAGCTCTTGTTCACATTTGGACTTTTACATCTTGAAGAATAGGCATTAAGTTTATATAAAAATTCTTTGAGGCACATGCCACAATGACTTTGTTTGAGTGCATTCTCATGTAGGTGTTAGTCTTCGATCGCCTTGAAATTTAAACTTTGAGCCCTATCTCAAGTTGTAAGCCTTGAAAGCCTTTAAATCCAAAAATAAAAATAAAAGTGGCCACTAGCAAAAGGTGTAAGTTTAAGAAACTATACATTGTGATTTATTAAATATTGATATATTAAGTTCAAGAAACTATAGATTGTGATGTATCAAATATTGATATATTAAGTATTGATATTAATATTTCTTGATTTATGGCTTAATTCTCTTTGTGATTCATTTATCTATATTAACTTTTGTTTATGTAAACTAAATCACTTAGCTTTGCTGAGTGATGCATATGTACTTCTCTTGTCTCCTAATGATCAAGTGGCTTAACATTTTGGTCTTCACTTTGTACATTGTGCCTTGGAAACCTCGAGCACACTTTATTGTCTCCTATGTATTGTATCTTTTTGAGTTATGTCATCCATTCCCCCGTGAAGGAAACCTAGAGCTTGATGAAACAGTGAAAGTACCTCGTTAATTGTGATATGGCCTTTAACCCTTGGTTTGTTTTAGCTATATATTAGTTCGACATTAATTGCTAATAATGCTCAATTCTAGGAAAAAAAAAAAAAAGACGTGCGTGTTCCAGAATCTGCCCTCCCCCCTCTCATGCACACAAGAACAGAAAAAAAAAAAAGGAAAAAAAAGATGCAAAATGCTTCTTTATGTGAAGATCTTCCGACCTTAATATTCTGTTGTATTAAAGCAAGGTTGTCAAAATGCTAATTATTATTCTAAGGTGATTTCATTCTTCTTATAGGACTTGTATATCCATGTTGGCTGGCCTCTATACCGGAAATATGGTCATGCTTTTGAGGTATGTTTTTTGGTTTGCGTGCTAAGAGAACAATTTATCTTCTGGAAGAATTTAGGGGCTTGAACTGGAATTGAATTATCTTTTGTGCAGGCATTCAAGGTTATTGTAACTGATCCTGATACGGTGTTGAATTCTCTCACCCGTGAAGTCAAGGAAGCTGGTCCTGATGGACAAGAGGTAGCATTGGTCCAAGAAAATTGAGGTGCTATTCCCTAAGTTTGGATTACATTCTAACTTAGTCTTGTATTTTAGGTAACTAAGGTAGTTCCCGCAATGTCTGAGGATGTAAAAGATGCGCTAATTAAAAATATTAGAAGAAGAATGACTCCTCAACCCTTGAAGGTTCGGGCTGATATTGAGATGAAGTGTTTCCAGTTTGACGGTGTTCTTCACATTAAGGTCTTTGTTTGACTACTTATACCTTCTCTGATTGTTATTTGTTTTCCTTGTTGAAGTTCTTTCATGAAAAATGTAAACACGGTCTTATCTAATTTTGCAGGAAGCAATGCGGAAAGCTGAGGCTGCTGGGAATGATGATTGTCCTGTTAAGATTAAATTGGTTGCTCCTCCACTCTATGTTCTTACGACCCAGACACTTGACAAGGTTAGTACAGTCCTCCCATGATGTGATGAATTGTTGTCTGTTATTCATGGAGATATTTGCAATTGGAGATGCAAACAACTTTCCAACTATCAATCTCATGAACATCTATATATATATTCATCTCTGGTGATGTGTACTCTTTAAGAATCTGGATTTTCTAAATTTAATCACTTAAAAAAGCTTGTTGGCTTATGAACTGATATGGGGGTAGGCAAGCTTTTCTGTAGCATTTAGTGGATGTGAGCTATGAGAATAATGCGAGGAGTGAACTCTCGAACACCTTGGTTATTTGAAAAAAAAAAAAAAAGCACGAGATGTTCTTAATATTCTTTAATTTGGTTAATTTCTTTCGTCTCCAACCGAAAAGGGTCTCTTCCCCTTTCTTCTTTTGGGATGAGAGTAACATGATTGGTCTCAAGTCTTTAAGATTGAAGGTATTTTTAGATAAGAACCATATATCTGGAATACTGATGACTACATATGCCACCACTTGACATGTTTAAATTGTTTTCGACTATTTTACATCTTTCGATTGGCAGCTTTGTTTAAGTTATTCATTTGTTATTTTGTGTTGAATAGGAGCAAGGAATCACTGTTCTTGAAAAAGCAATCACGGCCTGCACGGAGGCAATCGAGCATCACAAGGGAAAGCTTGTAGTGAAGGAGGCACCTAGAGCGGTGAGTCTCAACATCTGTTCACATTTAATATTAATGGTTACATCCGTTTCATCAGCTGACATCCAATCTTGTCCAATTACTATTGTAGGTGAGTGAAAGAGACGACAAATTACTTGCTGAGCACATGGCGAAGCTACGACAAGACAATGAAGAGATTAGTGGCGATGAGGATAGTGAGGAAGAGGAAGACACGGGAATGGGAGAAGTCGATGTCGAAAATGCAGGTTCTGGGATCACCGAGTAAAGATAGTTGCAGGAATCATTTGCCCTTGTAAGTTGAAGAAGGTCTGTAGTTCTGAGAGCTGTTCAATTCTTTCTTGACACAATTTTGAGAAAAATCCCTTTTTTTTTTGAGGTAAGACACCTATAATACTTGAGTTATTACAATTGGGTAAATTGGAAAGTCTGTGTATTGCTCTTATTTAATGGTTTTTTTCTTGATATTCAATGATTAAGCTTTGTGGAAGTCTTTGTTCAACATTCAAATGGTTGACTTTGACCGTTTTAGACACACATTTGATTTTTCTAGTTATATATATAAAGTTAAGGGGTATTCTTATTAATTTAGATATATATGTTTTCATTATAGGTAGTTTTCGGAAATTTGAATTAATTAAAAAAATATTATTAAGAAAGGGTGAAAAAATAAGCTCAAATTTTGCAAATTTTGACTTTTCAAAATTGGCGTGACAATAATGAGAAATGACGTGGTGGTGGCTTAATGCTTAGAATAATGCACGTTTAACATTATAACAAATATTTTTTACTCTAAAAGTAATTTCGGAGCATTTAAATAATATATTATTTTTTAATAAAGTTCCAGATATTTATTTATATATAATTTAGTTTTTATTACAAAAAAATGGTAAATGATTCAAATGAGCCCTAAATATATAAATCTATAAAATAAAAATAGTATATAAAATGCGGAATTCTGTGATGACGGAGAATTTCGGAAGACATTCAAAGAGTGTGGTCCTTTTCAAGCACCTGCATTAATTAATTATGATTAATAATGTTTTCATTTGTCGGTGGAAAATAAGTCCAATAATTTAATCTCACCCTTATTAAGTTGCGTTTAATTTTTAATAACGCTTTAGTAAATTATAATTAGTGAGAAATATATTATTTTATTTTCAAATTTATAATAATTTATAATTTAATGTCATAAGTATAAATTTTATCTAAATTGTGTAAAAACAGTTTTTTATTGTATAATACGGAAGTGGGGTCCACTAAATAATTAAGTGACGTGGCGTGTTTTCATTTGTCCAGACGACGTCCGTGCTCTTTTTCTTCTCTCATCTCTCTCTGTATCTCACTCTCTCCTCTCTGATCCACGCTTCTGCTCATCAATGGCGGTTTCACTCCAAACCTTCATTCAAGAACGCAAAATCCCTTTCTTCTTCACCCTCTCCGTCCTTCTCTTTTGCTTTCTCATTCTCTTCTTCACCAACTCCTTTTCTCTCAACCCTCTCGTTCGTACTTACTCCGCTCTTCGATCCCCTTCTAAAACCCCATCTTCTTCTGGGGTTTATTCGGATTCTGTTCTTTCTCACGATCTTGATTCTTCTTCTTTGGCGGCGAATTTCACCTGGAAGCTCTGTAATGGCTCTGTGGCGGTTGATTTTGTTCCCTGTTTGGATAACTTCAAGGCGATTAAGGCTTTGCAGTCGAGGAAGCACATGGAGCACCGTGAACGGCATTGCCCTAGTCCCAGTCCCCGCTGTTTGATTCCTCTTCCGAGTGGTTATAAGGTGCCGGTTCCCTGGCCCAAGAGTAGGGACATGGTGAGCTTGATTCTTTTCCAAGGTTTGTTGATAATCTTGTTTTTCTTAGAAGATTCCTTGGTTTACTGTGTGTGCGCGTATATTTTCCCTTGATTTTCTTGGCAAGTTTTGTGTTCGTCTTGTTGGAAACTGGTGGTGATTATTAATTATATTGGAAACCCTGTTTTTTAGATTTGGTACGATAATGTTCCTCATGCGAAGCTTGTTGAATACAAGAAAGATCAACATTGGGTAGTTAAGTCGGGCGATTATCTTAACTTTCCTGGAGGAGGCACACAGTTCAAGGATGGAGTTGATCGCTACATTGACTTCATTCAGAAGGTGTTTTTACTCAGCAAAATTGCGAACACATTCTTGTTGTAGTTTAGGATCCCTCACTATAATTTTGTACTAATCTAAGCTTGATTTCGTATCGCTTTGACTGAATTTGGGACAGACTTTATCGGACATTAAGTGGGGGAAGAACATCAGAGTTATTCTAGATGTTGGCTGTGGTGTTGCCAGCTTTGGTGGCTATTTACTGCAGAAGAATGTTCTTGCCATGTCCTTTGCCCCAAAGGATGAACATGAAGCACAGATACAATTTGCTTTAGAACGGGGAATTCCTGCTACTCTTTCAGTCATTGGAACACAGAGGCTGACATTTCCAGACAATGTTTATGATTTGATCCATTGTGCACGTTGCAGGGTCCATTGGGATGCAGATGGTAATCTTTGATTGTCCGAGTCTTATTTGTCAGTAATAATCAACTGATCTTATGAACATTTTGGTATAAATTCCAGGTGGGAAACCATTATTGGAGCTCAATAGGATTCTCAGGCCTGGAGGATATTTCATTTGGTCTGCTACACCGGTTTATCGTGACGATGAACGAGACAAGAGTGTCTGGAATGGTTTGTTTCGTAAACAATATCTGTAATTTACGTTCGCATAATTTGTGGGCGATATTGTTAAGATTGTTTGAATTGATAACTTACAGCAATGGTATTGCTAACGAAGTCGATGTGCTGGAAGGTTGTGAAAAAGACTTCTGATTCATCTGGAGTCGGCCTCGTAATATATCAGAAGCCCACGACAACGTCTTGTTATGAAAAACGTAGTGAAAATGATCCTCCCATATGTGATGAAAAGAACAAGAGAAATAATTCTTGGTATTTCTTGGAACTCCTCGCCTGTCTCTACCATTTTCTTTGGCAGCAATTCGGTTATATGTAACGGGTACGATCATTTTGTTTCTGTTCTTTGATAGGTATGTGCCTCTGACTAGATGTATTTCCCAGCTTCCAGTTGATAACAAAGGCAACTATTATGCTTGGCCTTCGCCATGGCCGCAGAGACTAACTAGCAAACCTCTTAGCTTGTCTGTTGAATCAAATGCTGAGGAGAAATTCTTGGAGGATACCAAACATTGGTCTACTGTTGTATCAGATGTTTATCGAGTTAATGTCGGCATAGACTGGTCGAGTATCCGAAATGTGCTGGATATGAATGCTGGCTATGGAGGGTAAAACTTATACAAATAATGACTATAAGCATTAAGTTCTTCGTTTTGATCTTTAGTTTAGTTAAATTGCTTTTTAAAGTTTCTTTATAGTAACGGTCCAAGCCCACTACTAACAGATATTGTTAAAATGCGTCTATTAAGGAGAAGTTTCTACAACCTTATAAAGAATATTTTGTTCTCCTCTTCAACTGATGTGAGATCTTACGGTTAATTTAGTATGATCTTAGTTTAGTTTCATTGCTTTTGGATATACTGATGTGGGAAAGATGCAACACTCAGACCAGATCTTACCATTCAGTTTGTTCTTCTTATGAACCTTTTAAGTTCAAATGCTTACTCTCACTTTCAATAATTCCCTAATTTGCAGGTTTGCAGCTGCACTATTTGATCTACCACTTTGGGTTATGAATGTTGTCCCCATAGACGTACCGGATACTTTGTCCATCATTTTCGATAGAGGATTGATCGGTCTCTACCACGACTGGTGCGAGTCCTTAAACACCTACCCTCGAACCTACGACCTTCTACATTCGAGCTTTCTCTTCACAGTTCTTAAGAGAAGGTAAGACATGTTATAGCATATTTGATCTTCTATGCATATTCTTAACACCCGTTGATTTGGAATTTAAAACGAGATCGAACTTCGAATGTCTCGACTTTATACCTTGTTAAATTACACTAAATCCAATGCTTAAGCTAATCGATACATGGATATGAACATTGTGTTTTACATAGTTACTTGAGTTCTGCGTTTCTAAGTTTCAACGACTTCGGTTATCCTTTCAGATGCGACGTGGTAGATACTGTCGTGGAGATGGATAGAATAGTGAGGCCAGGCGGATATGTTCTGATTCAGGAAAGCTTGGAGGTAATAAAGGAGCTTGGTCCCATGTTTGGCTCACTTCACTGGTCTGTTTCTGTATATCAAGATGAGTTTCTTGTTGGAAAAAAGGGATTTTGGCGGCCATCAGCCCCTAATTCCAAGTGAAAAGCACAGATTGTTTGAACTCGTTGCCATAGTTTTCCCTTCCTTTACATATTTTACTCAAAATACATATGAGGCTAATATCTTGAGTGTATGTTACCATATAGCCATACCCTTTTTTTTTTTTTTGGTAGTTTCATTTTTATAAAATGCTTGATAATTTCACTAATGTGTTTGTTGTGCTCGAATATTTATAATGGGTTAAAAAATTCATTAAAATATTATTCTATAATTTTTAGAATTGATAGTGTTTGTACTTTTAAATGTTCAAATTTAATTATTATATTTTTAAATTTAAATTTAGGAAATGAAATTTATCGATCTAATTGAATTAATTTTATTCCACTGGTTAGCGGGACTATCCAATCAAATTAACTAAAATGTTTCTAAATAAATATATTTATATATTTCAATTTTTTTTTTTTTAATTGACTGATGATTCCATCTAAAAAAAAATCTTGTTATTTCAATGAAGTCACAAATTATTGTTAATTTCCAATTGTATTTATCTTTAAAGAATATAATAAAATATGTACATTAAATTCTCTCCAATTTAAGAATTTTAGTTTTTCTACTAGTGATACGATTTGTAACCTAAATTGCATTAATTTATTATTGCAGTTCTTGTAAATAATTGAAACACATGCAGTAAAAAATAATAAAATAATGAAACATGTAAAATAAATTAATATGGAATCAAATAATGTATTCTTTTTTATTTTTATGCTGTTTATGTAAATGCTCTCTTTTTATTTAATAATTAATAAAATGAAGCGACAAACTTGGCCGTGTAAGTGACTAAAAATTACTAGCTTTTTAAATTAAAAAATAATCTGTATGGTTATTGTAAATTCTGTTAAAATTTTACCGAAATTAATTACTTGGGGGTAATTCCGTGAGCTCGAAAGCAACTGAAGCACTTAGCAATGGTAATTTCACCAGTAGTTTCACCAAAACTTACGTCTTTTAACATTTCACGGTGGGTTTGTTTGTTCTAATTTCTTGGGTAGTACAGAAGTTTCTGTGCCTTCCGAGTGAGTTTATCGTCCACGGCGTCGTCTGTGCATGAAGCTCTGTGACAATGGCGGGCACTTTTAGTTAGTTATTAGCGGAAGCCAAAGTGATCCCAAACGAAAACTCCACTTTGTTTGTTCTTCTTCTTCTTTTCTTCTTCTTCTCCTGATTGAAGTCTGATTGAAGAGTTTCAAGTTGAAACAGCGGCGAAAAGAAGTTGATCGACTATGTTTTACTCGCATCAGCTACTGGCTCGCAAGGCTCCACTCGGCCAAATCTGGTAAGCGGACTGGAGTACGTTTCTGGATCTAAATATGTTCGAATCAACGAGTGTGTGTTTGTGAAACTCTCCATTTGGTTATTTGTCTTCTTGTTTGAGTTATTTCGGATGTTGTTGATGTGTCCTGCTTTGACAGGCCTGCATCGATGGCTTGTACAAATTGTATTTTGTGTGTTTTGATGTTTTCTGTTATTTTCTGTATCTCTGTTACTAAGGATGGCTGCAACAATGCACGCGAAGATCAATCGGAGAAAGCTCGACAAGTTGAACATAATCGAAATTTGGTAATGGAAAAAACAGGTGGAGCTTAGTTTCTTCAATCGGTCAATGTTTGTTTAGTTTTGATTGTTGTGCGGGATATTGCAGTGAGGAGATTTTGAATCCTTCAGTTCCGATGGCTCTCAGACTCTCGGGGATTCTCATGGGTAATCGTCCTTCAATTTCTTCGAATTCTCAATAACTTTATCGCTCTGTTTCATCTAAGTAACAGAGACAGTGGCTCTCTTCTTCACTATTCTCAGGTGGCGTTGTCATTGTCTATGAACGAAAAGTTAAAATCCTATACGGTAACCTTTTGATTACCTTTTATTAAGGAGTGCATTTTTTTAGAGTTCAAACGCTGTTTCTGAAGAATTGCGCACTTTGTTTTTCTGTTTTATCACAGAGGATGTAACTCGCCTTCTGGTAATTACTCAAGTTTGTGTTCTATCTATAGATTACCGTTTGCGTCTTCTTGTTCTAATGACTATTTTGTAAGTTTATTTTCTGAAAAGATTTTTCTCAGGTTGAGATAAACGAAGCGTGGAAGGTGAAAACAGTTACAGAGCCCACCGTTATTCCCAAAGGAAAATCTCTGGCCAAGTTCGTTACTCCTTTCCTTCTTCTTATGGAAATGCACGATCATTTAATTATTCATTTACTTCGAAAAGGAATGCGTGTGCATCTGAAACTATGAAAAACTTGAATAGATGTCCGGGTTGCTTCCGGGCCCAAAATAAGATGGGTTCTGGACGGACTAAGAAGGTGATTTTGGCTCTGAATTTGTATGATTATGATTTTCATTTGCTTACAGTCCAAAGTAAGATGAGCTTGGGTTGGATTAAGAGAGTGATTTTGACTCTCAGTTTGTCTACTTAGGATTTTCATTCCCACAGTTTTGAAATGCTTTTTTTAGGTCCATTGTCCAAAATGTAAGATGAGATTGGGGCAGGTTAAGAAGATGATTTCGACTCTGTTAGGTAGTGATTTTCATAGGTTCACAGTCGAAAATAAAATGACTTGGGTCTGAGTTGAGTGGGTAATTTTCGCTCTGAATTTGATTGGTTATGCTCTCGTATCTCCACAGTACAAAATAATGAGTATTTGGCGGGTTAAGAAGGCGATCTTGACTCATATTTTACCTGGGTATGATTTGTATTATATACGTCCACATGTACTCAGGAAGCAGGCAGTCACTCGGCCTAAGAAGGACCCGAGAGACATCGGAGATCATGAATCACAGTCCATTAACTTCTCCCGCAGCACCTCTCCAATGAGGTTTCAACAAACCGCATTTTTTACTTTGGTAAGCCGTAGAGAAGAATGCCTTTTTTTTTGGGTTTAACAGTTTATAGAAATTCAGTGAGTAGTTCCCATCTAGGTATAATGTTCCATGCCAGTCCAGAGCACTGTAGAAGTGGAATTGGCAGATTTCAATCTTATCAAGTTATGCTAAGATTGATCTACGAGAAAGGCGAGAAAAATAACACTGATGAATATTGTCTTAGAAGGGAACTGATTTGTTTGGTGATTGTCATACTATTTTATGTTCTTCAAAGCAAATTATAGGAGCTCAATTGCCGACTAATGATTGATAGATCTTTCTGCCTTTGCAGCGGCTCGACAGTGTGGATGAACCATATATCAATGACAGAACAATGGAAGATGATCCGTCACAAAACTTCCATCAAAGTTTTTTCTGTCGCTTGAACTCATTATCACTTATTTTCTGCACAACTAATTAATTCATAATGCGTTCGACCTACTAATGATTTTAGTTATTCTGTTTCTCAGCTGATGCTGAAAATATAACCTTGCTCGAGCCTTTAGATGAGTATCAATCAAATACAAACACGTTCAATCGGTTTGAAAGGTGAATTCTTTACTTGCATGCATATAACTTGCATAATTTCCTTAGCAACTTCCTCTTTCTCAAGAATTTGAGTGGGCAAAACATTTGTGTTCATTGGCGCTTGCTACACATACACAATTCTCAAATTATGAAGCTCTCACTTGCACCGTAGTGATAATCCAACTCGCTATTTGAAATCCCTCTGGAATGGTAAAAAGAAGCCACAACATTTATTTCTTGTGCTGGATTTGTAGATTTGATATCGAAGAAGATGAGGAAACACAGCTGAATTTTGCTTCTGTAGATCATACACAAATTCCAGTTATTCCAAGATCTTCCCCTCCTCTTGACAACTATCTAGAAGGTAAGATATATTATCACGATTTGGTACTTAAAACGCCGTCAATTGAGTCACTATTCATAAATTGTAAGAGCATACAGTTTTAAGTTCAACCTTCTCGTCTCATCATTTACTGGTTTTATGTTTTGGAGTCAGTACATGCCAAGCTATTTATTTTTTCCTTGTGAGGAATGAAATAGATGTGAACATATGAACGTTTCATCTACTTGTTTTTAACCACAGCATCCTAGAAATGTGGGCATTTGTTCCAAGCTCATGGCCTGAGGGAAGAAAAACTATAAATAGCCTCATCTCTTCTGTCTCTCATCTATCTCAGTATATTCTTCTTTTCCTTCCTTCCAACATCTTTTACAGATCAGAGTCTGCTATATTTCGACTTAATGAACACAAATTGATCGATTCATAGTCACAATTCGATTTAACTTGCTACTTCATTTCCAAAGGACTTTCATCTTTGAATGTCAAATTTAGAATAAATTTCACATGTTTATGCATTCTCACCTCTAGGCCCTCCGGATGCTGAAGTCCAGGACCAACATCTTGAACGCAATGTCATGCAGCAAGCCTATGAACCCAAGGAGCTCAGACAGGTATTCTACTAGTATACTAAATAAAGAATACATTAACTACGCAATGTTGGCTTACCAGACAATGAAAGTATCCATTCCGCACCAGGTGAAGAAGGTGGCAATAAAAAGGAAAACAAAAAGGACAGCAGCCTCTCAGATGGACTATGAACAAACCATGGTTCCTGGATACATATACCAATCTTGGCTTCAAGATGTCTCGGATCTGGTCTCTAGAAGAGGAAGAAAGAGAAAGGTTCACCTTAGTCTCCAACATGCAATTCTCAGTTTATTTGATTTTATGTATTGGTGGACATAGATAATTACACTTATGAACTACTCAATTCTTACGAAATTTTCTCACAAGTATCAGTGCGCTTGACTACCGGCCGCAATGGTATGTCTTAGATGCTTATTCTTATGTGACATTGATAGTTGTGATAGGATTGATATAAGATAGATAACAAAAACTATCAACTGATAAGTCAATAAAATTAAGAAATTTCATATTCTTGTGTTGCAGCGGACAGGCGCAAGGTCCTCTATGAAGGTAGCTAATCTGATGGATCTTCCACCCGTGGTGTTAAGTGGTCGCTTATTCTCAGATGGAGGTAGAGAAGTCTATTATCCAGCTCCTCTGCTAGAGTTGTGGATGAAAAGTATCAGGAACCCCCGTGACTCACCTTCTGGTTAGTATTTTCCGTAACTCGATATTTCCATTGAAAATATATATTTCGGGGGAAAAGGAAAATGATCATTTATTTCCTG